CTTGATTGATGATTTGTGTCTGCAATTCATTAATATTCTAAGTCATGCTATTGAAGAAGGGTGTTTATTAATATTTGTTTAAGCAAAGTTCATTGCTTAAATACTTGAATAAGAACAATAGAGCAAGCAACATGGTTTCTATGTATATTAATTGAAATATTTTATAGAAGTTAAACTTTTAAACCTATAATTTTCACTGCAATTCAATTTTTAATATTATTGTTATACAAAAAGAAAACACCTAACAAAATCTTAAGTTCCCAAGCCTTATAAATAAATCCCTAAAAACCCCCATTATTTATTTAGTTATTTTCCTTTAACTATTATACAAATTTCACAACATTATTAGAACATGAAACCTAGCGAAATCTTTTAGAAAATTCTACATTTATCACGTGCTTTTACATTTTGATTTGAGTTAGTTTTACGAGGGAATCGCTAAATTTTACGGCGATTTTAAAGAATTTTTTTCTCAGAGTGATTTCTTAGGTTTATAGTACAGAGTGTAGAGAGATGCTTTCACATTCTGCACATGCAAATTTATAACAATTTTACGTTCTCACATGCTCAAAGTCGTAAATCGTATTCGGCAAGGTGCGAACTGCTACTGCTCCTGCTTGTGCTCGTCCTGTCCCTGCTGGATGCCAGGATCGTGGCTGGGATACCAGGATACAGCTCCAAACCAAGTGGCTGTGCATAAAAAATCGTTTATGGCTTTGCAGCGCTCAAATAGAACAAAGCATAAATCCTAATTTACTTATGTGTAGCTGCAGCAGTTGCCACTTGCCGCCAGTGTGTGTGTGTGTGTGTGTCACACAACGGTAAACATATATCAACAACATCTTAAACTCATGACGCCAAATAAATACAAATGTTGTAAAATGCAGAGGGAGGGATATACACAGAACATACCCAGCACCCAGGCCAGACCTCGTAAATCGCTCGGAAAAGGGAAAAACCCCATACCCAGGCCAGAGGGGGCGAGGAAAAAAGGAAAAGGAATGAAAAGCACCGTGTGAGCTTAGTGGCATCGCGATTGAAAGGGACTTTGAATAAATTTCACCTTACCAAGTGGCTGTAAATTGTTTATATTTTACTCGAGTTTGCTGTATTAAAAAGGAATTTGATGGAATATGGATTAGGAGTGTTTGTGTGCGCTCCTTTTGACTGGATTTTTGATTTTGCAGTCAAAATGAGCAAGGGAGCAAAGGAAGAGATTCCAATAGAGAGATAACTTTACTTCAGATGTCTTTATTTTGAGTTCTTTTAGAAATTATTATTTGGAATTATGCGGTACATTTAATTTGGATAATATATCTTAAGGATAACTGACGGAATAAAGAGCTGTGCAATGGGGTAATTTATTCTTACATTTTAGGGACATATGTCATAGATTGTTTAGCTATTTAAAGTCTTTTAAAACCTCCTTTCTTTGCTTAATTTTTATTGACCAAAAACTCTCTATCTTAGGTATTAAATATTTCTTGAAATACCTTAAACATTTAATGCAGCTTTAAGGTATTTTCCGGAAAATGCACCTGCAGGCTTACACATGCATTTCACAAATATTTCAAAGTGTGCTTGGGCAATAAATTCAGACAAGAATCGAGCTGGGTTTTCTTGATCAAACTAATCAAGTTGAGTAGCCGCCATTGAAGTGGTTTTGTTTACTTCAAGTTCTCGCCCAGAAATTGATATAATTGATGGCGAACCATAACAGACCACATTAGAAATGCCGGCCAAAAGTCGAGAGAGTTTGCTGTGTCCATCTGTGTCTCTGTCTGTGTCCGATTCCGAGTCCTGTTCCTATTTGTATTTGTATTTGTCTCCATCTGGCAAGGAGCAATCCGGAATCTAACAGGAGGAAAAAATACTAAAGCGTCAGCGGCATGTTAAGCAAACTTTATGACCGGCGAATTCCGCAAAAGGCAAAGGAGAGGATGAGATCCGGATGAAGACTGAGGGATTGTGGGGGAGGTTGGTGGATGATGATGGAAATAAAACCAGGACCAGAACAAGAACCTCCCAGCCCGAGTGAGGCATCAAAAAGTAAGAGCAAATGCAAAAGCAACCACTATAAAAACCTGCAGCGATAGTAAAATGCAAATTGGTTGGGGCAAAAAAAACCAACCGAGGGCTGGGGGGTTCCATCAGCAGGACAACGGAACGTCGGACCCACAGACCCACGGACACTTCAGGCCTTCAGGACTCCCTTGGTCCGTCAACGAAACTGAGGAAAAAAATAGTAAGCTCTGGCATTCGCACTCGTAAAATAAAAGTAAAGTGCAACAGCAATTTGTTTGCACAATTGCTGAATGCGGCCATTGCTGTTGCTGAGGATGTTGCTGCTGCTGTTGCTGTTGCTGCTGCTGCTGCTGCTGCTGTTGCTGCCTCAGCCGTAGATGTTGCTGTTGGCACTCGTCGCATTGTTTGCTTTGTAGCCAGTTGTTGTACATTTTTATGACAGCTCAAATTGGCCCCATCGCCACCGACGCGACGACGACTGCCCGCGAGCAACACTGTCAGCATATGGCAATAAATGGGCAACAGGAGTTGCTTCCCCGCAAAAGAAAGAAAAAAAGATATAACACCCGCCAACACAATATTCCCGGACATAGACTATATCTACTATATATATATAAGTATATGTATATGCAAGCAGTGCTGTCAGTTTATCCTTTTTTAATACGCTCTCGGTCTGAAGGAATCGGGCAAGTCATCAGGATTTATTTGCTTAGTGGCACTTGTGGGTTTGCTCTTGAAATGATTTCAGTTTTACTAGGAAATCTTTAAGAATATTTAAGAAAATATTATATATTTTTGCTCTATCAAATAGGATTCTTTTCGACAACACTGGTATCCAACTCCACCAATTTTTTTCCCCCTCGTCTGATTGCCACTGACAGAGCCCAGTTGATTTGATGCCTTGTTCTGAGCCCTTTTGATGAGCCCCCTTGGTCGTATCCCTGCTCTCGCACCATTTCATTTTCTATTTTGGCACTTTGAAATTAAAATATAAAAACCCGCGCCGCGCTTTGACAACTTTTTAAGCTCCATTAGCGTTGACGGCAAGAAAGCCTATGAAGCGGCAACAAAAGCGCCCGTGGAAAAAGGGTCAATGTAACCGCGAAGGCAGCCGACGACGCGGCAGGACATCGAGACATCAGGACACCAGGACACCAGGACACCGGAACATCGAGACATCAGGACCTCATCGCAGCCAACTCAATAGGAACAACAGCAAGCAGCAAAGCAGCAACCCCTTTTCTGGCCGAGGGTAACCTTGCGGTTGTTTCCATTCCCAGACCAAGTCCCAATAGCATTGCCAGGACGAAAACCCAAACCCAGGCCTGACCCCGATTTCGAAAGGCACTTGAAAAAATATGATACAAATTGAAATTGAATAGAGAATACTGGGTAATATTTGAATACTGTTTTTATATCTATAGTATCTCTTGGTTTAGAAACTAAATGTTTGCTTAATATTAATGTTTAGGTTTCAGGAATAATTTGCAACAGCCATCCTGTAATTATTTTCTCCCTGTGCATCCTGTTCCGGTCTGCTCTGGGTTGGTATGTTGGCCTGTTTGGTTGGTTGGTGTTGCACTTCCGCGGCTGGAACAACAGACCAGGCCCAAACCGAAACAGAAATGAAAAAAAAAAGCATTTAACTGTTTCGCTGTTTGGCATTCATTGCGAATTTAAAGGGCGGCTTAGTGACAGGAATAATAAGGAAGCCCGCAGCGGAAGCGCTGATGTCAACGCAGCAGCAGCAGCAGCAGCGGCAGTGCCACAAAAAAAAAGGCAACCACAAGGGAGTGTATTGAGAGGGGGGTTCTTGGTTTTTGGTCTCTGGTTTCTGGTTTCGAATGGGGGGGCAATAATGGGCCACGGGCCATGGACTCCTTGCGGCCGTTTGTGTCCTGCGTCCTGTGTCCTGCCCCGCTTTCGATTCGCTCTCACATCCAGCATCTCGGGCCTGTGCAAACAAAGCAAACCAAACCGAATGTAACCAAACCAAACGAATCGTAACGAAATAAACCCAAAACCTCAAAAAAGGAGCAACTTTCGGCTGTCAACTATGCTAAATATTTAGCTGGAATGGACAGAAAAATAAAAGGCCAAAAGGAAAACAATACCAAATTAAACGCTTACAGCTGGAGCAGCTCATAATTTATTTCTAAGCTCGCCCAGCTTTTCCCCCTAACCGATTTTTCCGTATTTGAGATTTGGGCTCAAGTATTTTTAACCCAGCGCCGTGCCAATTCTGATACTTGTTTGGCCAGACATCAAAACACACCCCCGGCTTTTGGGTTTTTTGGGTATTTTTTTTTTATTTTTGAAGGAACATCCTTATGGTCCTTGCTTCTTCCTGGAGCCAGCAGGGGGTTGTGGCCAGGGCTTGTACTCGTACTCACCCTCCAACGATTGCCAGGCGGTGCTGTTGCATAATTTTCGGCAATCCACAAGTGTGTGTGGCACGAGTCCGTGCCAGGATCTGTGCCGTTTCCTGGTATGTGTGTCTCGCTAGTTTTGTCAACGAGAGAGCAAAGTGTCTGCGCATGAGCACTCGCTCTCGCTCACGGGGTTGTTGCATGTCGTCTTCTTTTCCAGGGGCTGGGGTCTGATGGTGTTGCTGGCTACTTGTTGTGTCTTTGTGTGCAGGGGGGTTATGGAATACCCTGGTATATTGATTCCGGGTTCCAATAAATCAGAAAAACTATGCACAGACTATGGTAACCATTACTAGGGCTAATAACATACTATATATGGACAATCCTTTGACTGAAAACCTCCAGGAAACCACCCCTTGTAGTCACCCCCCTGTTTTTTAGTGGTGTGCGTTGGTGTTGACCCGAAATCACGCACACTCGCTGTAAATCACACACACACACAGGGATATATATATATACATATATATATATATATATGTGGCCGATCCAAGTGAGCGGCAGCGAAAAGCTGCGAATGCCAAGCGCACAGTAGAAGGGAGTGGTACGTCAAAAACTGACGCACAGCGGCAGGCCAAACAAGTCCATAGTTTAATAGCCAGCACCGCACCATAATAATAATAATAATATCAACTGTAAAATACATAAAACATTAAGTCCAGCTAAATAACGTGACCAAGTGCAAAACTACCACAAAAAAAGAAAAAGAAAAGAAAAATCCATAAAGCAAAACAAGAAAAGTGAAAAAGAAAAACTGTGAGTGTGCGAAAAACAACAGGCCACAAATCAGAGCGAGTACGAAAATGCTAAAGATACTTCCCGGTTCTCAAGACCCTAGTTCATGTAGATATTAAATACAGAATTAATTATTTAAAGCCCCCTCAGTTTTATGCATGATTTGATTTGGTTTATCGAATGCCCGATTCGTGTGTTGCATGTGACAAAGTGATATATATCGCTCCTCGAACTTCTGTGTGTGTGTATAAGTCGCTGCAGCTGCAAAGTATGCAATAAAAATCTCGCATTGTTTATGTGCAGCTACAGAGAGAGAAAAAGCAAGTGCGGGGAATCACAGAGAGAAAAGAGAAAGAGAGAGCGGTTTGGGCGGTGGTGGGTGGTACAGTGAGGTAGGCTAAGGCAACCAACAGTTGACTATTTGTTGCATGTACTCGCTGCCAGGACCCTCTCTCGCTTAAAGCTCCAGAGTACCGAGTGCGCTACTTTCTCTTCCTCTCCGCTCGCAACGATTGCTCTCTCCCAGAGAGAAAGAGAGCATTTCTCGATTCCAATTCACAAAACATTCGACAAGTGCAGAGTGAACAAGTTGTTGTTGCTGATGAACAACGAACGGAAAAAAAGGAGGAAATTTTATAGAGTTTTCCCCCAACGAAACCGCAGCCATTACCTAATTAAATTATGGAGCAAAACATGTGATAAATCAGCACAGCATACCAGGCAAGGATTATATATCGGGCTTATCTTAAAACGAATAGATTTGAATCGAAAATCTCGGCCAGTGCATTTCCTAAACAATGGCAGCGAGTGTATGCGCCATTTTTAAACGTGGGATAGGGATAGATAGTTTCGGTGTGCGTGCGTGTGCGCCACCTTCCAATGGAAGCTTTTCCGCTTTTCCACCTGACCACCCCCCCCCCCCACACACACACACACACAAAATGAACTGCCGCCAGTGCCGCGTATAAACCGTGCAATTTAGTGCAAAAAGTATAACAATTTATCAATTAAGTGTAATCAAGTGTTGCAAATTTCCCCAAACCCCTCTTAGAGTGTCCAACCACCTCCTAGTGGCCCCTCTGTGGTGCGTGAATCTACCGATTGCACAGCGGTTTCTGCATTTATAATGTAAATATTATGACTGCCAACCACTGCAGGAACTTGTTTACAATTTTCGCTCTTTAATCGCCGCTTAAATTATGCAATTTCAGTCTCAGGATACTCGGCTTTTGCTCCTTGCCGCCAGTTGCAGGAAAAGGCGTTGGGAATAACAGGAGTTGAAGCAGGAGCAGAAGCCGAACCAGAGTGTGTGCATTTAATGGTTGCCATAGAGTATTTACCTTGCAATTTATGGGGTAACGCCACACTGAAGGTGGTCTAATGGCTAATCTGGAATCACTTATGCCAGCCCTAGGGACGTCCTAGCCCCTACTGTTCCTACAGCTCCTCTAGTTTTATGGGTTCAGGGACCCGCACAGGTGCACTGTCTGGGTGGATTATTATGCATTTTGGGAATTGTTCTTTATATATTTCACTTCATCTTTTGATGGGTTAATAATATATTATTATAAATCTAGGTTTTATATAAAGTTAAACAAATGTGAAACTTTAAATAGTATTTAACAACCCTTGCAGGGCATCTGAAGCTTGAAACATTGTGAAGGAGTCGTTTCCGACCCCATAAATCATATATATTCTTGATCAGCATTGAATTCCGAGTCGATCTAGCCATCTTCGGTTGAAAAATAAATTTTTAAAATTTTTTTCAAAAAATTTAAAAAAAAGATAAGGGGTTACATCATTAAAATTGTCAAAAATTTAAATTTTTTAAAATGTAATATCGAGTATGCAGATTTATTAACCTAATAAAAACTAACAAAGCAAAGCTTTCCGAACTAAAATTAATGGTTTTTTGGCTTAGTTATGAGCTTTTTAAACTTGGAGCTCTCGAATAAATGGTCATATAAAAATATCAATAAGAAAGCATTTAAAAAATGTATTCCCTAGGCCCAAAACTATAATTTCCGATAAGTATTATGTTACCTAAAGCATCCAAGATATAGTTAATAATATAAAGGCGAAATGAACTCTCCTTTAAAATAAGTTCTCCTATTAATTCACCCAATTCCCTCTACCAGAAAGTACTCAAAAAATCAACCTCAAAACAAGTATTCTTCCCATTTTTAATAATATGTTATATCCTTTGAGCAGACAACGATTATTTGCATGTAAATGTGGCAGAGTCTTTGTCCGGCGTCTTACCGGTAAATAACTGCAATTTAATTTACTTGAATGTATATTTCCATTCCTTGCAGAACCCACACACAGGACACACACACACCCAGAACAGAACCTGGATTGCAGGTAACGGCAGCAACATTGCAACTTAGCAGCATAGCAACGCAACAACGAAGAACGCCAGGGAGATACCTTCAATTGTGGTGCAAAAGTGAATCCTTGGCCAACCAGGATACAAGCTGCCAGGGATCGCGGCAGGGATCTGCGGGGGGCATCGCGAGGAGGAGAACGATGCCAGCTGGGGCACAAAAGGACAACAGCAAGGAATCAAAGCTGAAGGAGCGACCGCAGCAATACTCTCAAGGCAACTCATGTCAATGTCAAAGTTGAAGTAGACGAGGGCCAAAAACGTTAAGGCACCAAGGCGGGGGCGCCAAAGGGGGCGGGGCAAAATAGCAAAAAGCAAAAGCATTTTAACTGCAGATGACAAAGAAGGTTGTGCTACATCTACATAGTAAATACAAAACAAATCTAAGCGTAAGGAAACCCACTACCCCCCACAACCGCAACCAGAACCCGAACCCACTCCTCAAGTGAAAACCCAAAGCAAACATAGGAAGCCGGTGGCGGGGAAGTCCCTTCCCGGAATTCCAAACTGGCAGAGCGGCAAGGACATCAAGGCATACGGCAACGGATACGGTGACCCGTGGAAGTGATACTGCAGGTGGCAACATGTCCGTGGACTTTATACTGCCCAATCGCAATAAGATCCAGACGATTGCCTACGCGAGTGCCAGCAAGAAGTATGTCCAGCCGGCAGGGAATACGGGATCAGCCTTAGCTGCAGGATCGGGCACCATTTCCGGTTCCGGTGCAGCTGCAGCAGCTACTGACCTCCAGAGCTGGCGACGCCCAAAGCCCAGGGGCTCCGTGGGTAAGCTCAAGACGACGTTTGAGGATAAAGCTCACCACACGGTGCTGAGAAATGCCAATGGAAATGGCCTGGCAGGTAGCACCAAGTCAATGCCCCTCAAAACGCTGGCCAAGAGGAGCTCCAGATCAGTGCTCAAGCGGGAGATTATCGAGCTGGATGACGAGGAGGTGGAGGAACGAGAAGATCAGCTGTGCGAACATTTGGAGTGGTCAGCAGCCCAATCCCTGGTCCAGATGAACTCCTCCAAGCAGGAGAAGCAGCGACGAGCGGGAACGAGTCAGCCAGGTGTCACAGCGGCAGCTCCCATATCCGCTTCCGGTGAGTGAGAGAACTTTATTAAACATATATTTTAAAGAGACTTTTCTAAGATTAAAATGGTTAGAGAATATTTTATCTGAGTATTTTTATGTTCCATATTTTATTTGTAAAAGAAACTCTCAGATTTTCTGCTCGGTGTTTGCTTCTATTGTTCCCTATTGGTAGCTTCCCCCCTTTTATTTTGTGGCTACTCACCTTGCCACTGGGTCTTTACTGTTCCTGCCACCGGAATCCGGATTCCGGAATCGTTGGGGGGGGGGCCAAAGTTGCGTCACAACAATGTGAACAGGTGGCTGCGACAATTTGTGTACTCGTATTTATTTTAGTAGCCAGGTTCCGAGCCCACTCCATCTCCATCCCATACACGCCGGCAATTGCCAGCGGCTCTGGCAAAGGCAAGAATTTTATGGCCACCCACTTGGCCGTCGTCCTTCAACCGCTGGTGACCCACCAACCAGATTCCCCGCTGCTATGTGGTGGGGTCATCTCCTCCTCCTCCTCCTCCTCCTCACCCTGACACTCTCCTCTGCAGTGAGCGCTCGTGTTTGACATTGTCGCCGTTAGCTAATCTTTTTAGCGTATGTTGGCATTTTCCATGTTTGCGTTTGCCTTCTTGTCGATGTCGCTGCTGCTTGTTGCTCTTGAATGAAGCAAAAAAAAAAGAGGAAAAGTAGAGGAAAAGCGTAGGCAAGGCGGAGGAAAATGCAAACACGAAAGCATACAAGCGGCATTGACTGTCACAGGGGGGTGGCTTTTGGGAGGTCGTCGTCGTCATCGTCATCGTCGTATCGATTGAGAAACTCACTGTGGAACGTAACAGGTCAGCCACAACTTCATGGAGAGCCAGGAGGAGATGGGGATATTGCGTCAGCCTCAGAGCTTTGGTCCCATAAAACGTCAAAATGTGCAGTTACGGTTACTGCTTCCTTTATGATTCCCTTTTTTTCGGTGACCTCTCGAACCCCCAGTCGTTATTTCCCCCCAGAAATATGACTTGCATTTGGCACACGCACAGCCCTAAATAAACAAAAGGAATACCAAGGAAAACAAGGCCTGAGGATTATTAAGTACGAGCTTAAACAGGGGACTTAATATTGCTTAACACTGAGTCCTAAAGCAGCCACAGGTTTCAAGTTACTTAACTGCTTTTACTCATTATATATTAGCTACAGGTGGTGGCTTTTTTAAGGAGACACGTATAGGAATTTAAATATCTGCTTCCTTTCAAGTTTAATTTGTATAGAAAGACAATTTTTAATAACTTTTTCTAACGATTTATTCGAATCATGCAGTTTTCTTGGAAGCCATCTTTATTTTAAATGATTTTCAACCGTTTCCCATTTCCGTCGTTTCACTTCCACCATTAATTGTTGCAAGTTTAAAGCTCTGTAGCCAACCCTGGTTTATTCTTAAGATAGGTGACAACCCTGACCGATTAATCAACTTGTTGATTGACAATTAGTTTTCCGATTAAAAAAAAATGTGACAGAAAGTTCACTTGCTGCAATTGTGTGATTTCCGAAATGAACTTAATAGTGTTCCATAATCAAGAAGAGGATTGCCAGCCTCTGGACTGTTAGTTGATAGCTTCAGTAGTTCCTTTTTGGGTTTGTTCCTCATTTCTTTACCTTTTCCTTATAGTATCGATGCGCCGTCCAGTGGGCAGAGCTCCGGCGGAGGATGGCAAGGTGATCTTCTATGCCCCGCCCGCCAGCGCCACGGGGGCGCCCCGTCAGCCGGAGCCCGTGACCTTGAAGAGGGAGCGGGAAAGGGAACGTGAGCGTGAGCGGGAGCGCGAACGTGTGAGGGAGCAGCAACAGGTGGCTTCCGTGGCAGCCTCTGCATCGATATACCGCGGACGCAGCGTCGAGGAGACGGAGGCCGCCCACGACCTCCTGTCACTGTCGCAGAGTCTGCCTCCGCTGATCCCGCCCTGTGTGGTCACCATCATGAAGCAGGAGCAGGAGCAGCTGCGCTGCCCGGAGATCCAGGAGATATCGAACAGCGCTTCCAGCCGCTCGCCGCAATCGACCATTCGATTCATTGGCAGCAGCTCCTACGACCTGATGCACGGCTCCGCGGAGGGCGCCACCACCAACTGCTCTCCGCTGACGCCGCCCAATTCGGATCACAGCTCCGATGTGGATATTGACATGTCTTCCTCCTCCGAATCGGGGGTCCAGCACTGGGGCAGCAAGCAGCAGCAGCAACAGCAGCCGCAGTCGTCGTCGTCGTCGTCGTCGTCGTCGTCATCATCATCGTCGTCCCACAATCATCACCAGCAGCCGCCGAGGGCGTCGGCCTTGAAGATGTGCCTCAATATGCTGGATGGCCGGACCAAGGCCAGTAAGGCCAGACAGGAGCCAGTGCTGCCGCGGGCAAAGAGCGTCCAAAGCAATGCCTCCAGTCCGAGCGGCGACCAGCCCGAGGTGGCCGTCTCCGTGGCCCCCAGTCACTCGTCCTCTTCCACTGGCTCGGTGGCGGGATCTGGAGCCGGCGGTGGTGGCAGCGGCGAGAACTATGCCAAGCGCAAGCGTGGCTGCTACAAGTGCTGTGAGTGTGGCAAGCAGTATGCCACCTCCTCGAATCTCTCCCGTCACAAGCAGACGCATCGCTCCCTGGACTCGCAGTCGGCCAAGAAGTGCAATACCTGCGGCAAGGCCTATGTATCCATGCCGGCCCTGGCGATGCACCTGCTCACGCACAAGCTCTCGCACAGCTGCGACATCTGCGGCAAGCTCTTCTCTCGTCCCTGGCTGCTCCAGGGTCACCTCAGATCGCACACCGGGGAGAAGCCCTACGCCTGTGTCCACTGCGGCAAGGCCTTTGCCGATCGCTCGAACCTAAGAGCCCACATGCAGACCCACTCGGGGGATAAGAACTTCAAGTGTCATCGCTGCAACAAGACGTTCGCCTTGAAGTCGTACCTCAACAAGCACTTGGAGTCGGCCTGCCTCCGGGACACCGGTGCCATTGGGCAGGGCAAGGACATGGATCTGGATGGGGATGAGGACGAGGAAGAGATGAACAAGCAGGATGATCTGGAGGGTGATGAGCTGGACAGCGACGAGAATAGCCAGGACATTGTGGTGGCCTAAGGAGCTCGCACTCTCTCTCTCTATCTCTTCCCGACAACTTAGATACTTTACAATGGCAAACCTATAAGCAATATTCGAGCACCCTTATCAAATTAAAAAAAAAAAACCTAACACAATTAAGAAATTGAAATCGAAAATGATAATGATAAAATGATAAAGAAAAGAACAAAAACACTAAGAATCTAGTCTAGAAATCGGCTTACTAGCGAGGTAGTTCATGGATCTCAAACTCAATAGAATCTTCTTCAAGCAGTTATATATATTATATATACACAGACACAGATACTATATCTACTCACTTATAATCCGAACAAACTCTATCCAAAAACTCTCCAAGTTGAAAACTTTTACTGAACTTGAAACTCGATCGATCGAAGGCGCAAGAGGAGCGATGTGAGGTGAGAAATGACAAAAGAGAACAAAAGGTTTGAGAGGGAAATCCAAAACGTAACTTATAGTAAAAATCTGACACAACGAATATTATGGAACATAAGTAGAAATTCTATATATATACAACAGATCAAATAAGCATTATATACAGATCAGGATGAGATGGAGAAATCGAATGGGGATGGCAAATTATATGTATACATACGACCTATATGAGAATAAACCTAGCGAGCAGAACCAATTTGTGCATGTTTTTTGGTAAATATCTACTTTTTAGGCATCGTTTTAGGGCTCTAGAGTTTATATACACCCCCAGGACACACCCAATACACCACAGACACACACACACACACACCTATAGCGAGCATAAGGACTCGATCGAAGGCGGAGGACGATGCTCAGTTCAAGTCTTAGCAAAACTAATCAATTAGTGAACTTATAGCACTTCCTGCAAACTCCTATATCTCTCTATCTTGCTCTTAGGCTCTTTTTAACCGTACTTATTGATCAATTTAGCAATCGGATCAGCAATCGGAATCAGATATATATATATATAGAATCAGATATATAGAGACGAACCATTTTAAACGCTGCGGCAAAAACTTTACACTCTAACCAAGTTTATAAGACGAGAATTACTTCCATATTATATGCTCTAAACTCGATAAACAGAAAACTACTTCAATTACTTAGAAATGATTAAAATTAATGAGAAAACAATTTAGAAACATATCACAAGGACAATACTTAACATAAATAACAACATGTATGGACGATGATGTATGTGGTGCAGAGGCAGAGGCAACTTGCAACCCCAATTACGATGACGATGACACTCTCTTCTCATACATACATACATGCAGCATGAAGCAAACAAAGTACTTACGAAATAGTTATTTTATTACTAGGCATTAGACAACCCCCGCCCCCGACCCGTGTACATATTATATTATATATATACATGCAAGTTTAAAAACCATTTTATACAAGAAACTACCCCCCAAAATACCCCCAAATAATCCCCTCGAGCTTTGGCCCAGCCAAAGGTTTCTTATAGCGATCCCCAAAGATGCAAAAGGATATCCGATGGATATGGATATGAAGGACGATGATGAAGATAGACGTAGAAGACGCACTTGTAAAACAAATGATAACTAAAAGCAATTCCAAAGTTAAGTGACATAGTTTTAATGAACGAAAAACCAAAAATACAAACATTTGTAATTCCAAAAAAACAAAAAATCGAAAAGTATTGATATATACACATAAAAAAAACAAAACATGTATTTATTTAACGCGTAGTTTTTATTCAAAAGAACCGAAGGCAAAACCAAAAGAGTAAACTTGAAAACAATTTAATTAAATTGTCAATTACAATTATTTCATAATTTAAGAAACGATGAGCGAGGCGAACGCAATGCGGCGATAGAGGTTATTTTTTAAAGCATATATATACACATAAATATATTAACAAATAAATAAAAAAATATATATATTTAAAAGAGGCAGTTTTATATCGAAATTAATAATAGTAAAATGCAAAAGTAACAACAAAATATTGAAAACCATTCGAACTTAATTATACAACGAGCAAGAAAAACCATTAATTATAAAACAAATCCAAGCCCCACACACACACTCAACACACACACAACACACACTGGAAAACACACATTTTATAGCAACATCGGATTATTAAATCGTATCTACATACGTGTAGTATCCAAAGTCTACAATATAGCATCAGAAATATCGGGGCTGAGTTAGAATTTAGACCAGAGAGTGCTATGTGCATTGTTTATAGGGCCATAGTTCGAAATCGTGTTTATGCATGGCTTTATTGATGATTATTGATAGCGTTTTAAATAGCATTAAATGCCTATATATACACATAAGCAAGAAACCAAAACAAAAAGCAAACCGAAGAAAAATTAAGAAAAAAGCAACAAAAAAAACACAACTAAAAACCAAAATAAAAAAAACGTATATAAGAAATTCCATTGAACAGTAGTGGTAACAATTATGTGATTTGCAATTTTACATTCAAAATATATATGAAATAATTACGAATATAAATAGATTATATATTGAGGCGAGCGTTTAATTGATTTATTTATGAGTAAGATTTATTTATACACATTATACACGACAACAACAAAAGAAGAAAACAAGAAACAAAATGACAAAAAACACAAAAAAAGGAAAAGAATATGGTTGATACAAAGATGAGAGATGAAGCTAAAATATTTTTACACCAAAACCCTTGTTTTATACACGCGGCAAGTTGAGTCCCAAAATCCCCCAAAAAATACCCCTTGAAAATACACAACTGCAAAAATTAATTAAAGTCCCCTTTTAGAGAAACACATGAGCAAGTTCTTTCGATTTCTAAATATATACTTTTTTGTTTAATCTTTTCCTTGATTTATTTAATTTTAAATTCTCCAGATATTCCAGAAATCTTTAAGTATTTCATTGATTATTTCAAGCTTGATATGTGATGAAAAAGGTAAATTGGTTGTGCTGAAAATTAATTACTTACATCTATTACTTTTAAAAAGATTTCTGGGTTGCTGCTGAGTAGGAAAGATTTTATTTTTATTTAAGCTTATTGTGTTGTTAAATCTATAAAAATAGATTTGTTTTTCAAAATACCCCTTTAATTTACAAAAAGTGAAATCGGAAGCACATCTGCTAAGACACACACTCACATAAACTCTCTCTTGATATGAATTAATTTCAAGATCAAAGACACCAATTCAATTTTGATTATTATACAATAAAAAATATATAAATAAAAGATGGGCATAAATCGAACAAGCTGACGCGGTGAGATATTTTATAAAATGAACGATGAATAACGTAAAGATATTAATTTATATATTCATATATTAGAGATGCAAAAAGACTTGAACAGTTATATACATTTAAAATTGCAATATATTGTATACTTCATTAAAACAAAACAAAAACAAAATATATATACATACATACCGGCATATATGCAAACCACGTACGAGTATATAAGTATGAATATTTAACTTATTTATATAAATGCTTACAGCGAACCATAAACATATACATTCATAAACCGAATCTCAATTTTTTCCAAAGCCACGACGATAGGAATCCCTCAAGTAACTCAAGATCAATTCAATTATATACTCAATGACCACAAGGCGAGGGGCAAAGGTCCCTTGCCCCACAGGAATATATAGCTAAAGATATATAAGATAATACGTATATGCAACACACACACAAAAACACAACACACTCACATACAAAACAAGCGATTTTAAGGCGCTGTTTTTCTCACAGTTTTTCCTTTTTGATACTTAGCATTCGTTCTTGTTCTAATTTTAGTTAGAGAATGTTCAACTAGTTTCGGCTTTCGTAGGAAGTTATATCGAAATAATCGACACACACACAAACCCCTACTGCTAAAACTAATAACTCCCCCCAAAAAAAAATAAAACACTCTTAGACATCTACAGACACATAACCGACATGCGATTTTATGGCAAACAAATATGTAGAGCATATAACCTATTATATCCCAAAGAAGGCTTATCCATTCTTAAATTAATCTACACACGCGTGCGTAACCGGAGAAAGCGGAGAAAGACGACGACGAATCACACAGCATCCATTATGGAAATACGAGTATGACAAACAAATAGAGAATATTAAACAAAACGAGTAACAAAAAAATCCCTCAAAACAAGCAGAAACTAACATAAATGACAGCCACAAAACAAGATCAACAAAATAAATATAACACACCAAGGATGATGATGGGTCGATGGAGTATAAATTAGATACATAGTTATAAAAGCTACACCCACACACTAGTGCAGCCATGTAACTATTTTTAGAGCCTCGGAAATAAACATACATAAAATACATAAAAATATTAAATAAACGACAGAGAAAAACAAACAAAAATTTTATTGGTGGGTAATATTTATTTGGATTTTTAGTTCAGAAGGTAAGTAATTTGATGAATATTTTTCTTATAATTAAAAGAAAAGCAGCTAACTTTGAAAAGCAAAATTATTTGCATATTTACTAAGCCAAAAATGCTTTCATTTCAATATAATAAATATTTATTGATATTTTTATATAATTTCCTGTGTAAATCAGAGTTTTTCAAACATCATAACTCAGCCAAAAATGCATTAATTTTAAATCGGAAAGCTTTCCTATGTTAGTTTTTACCAAGTTAATAAATCTGCCTACTAAGTTTTCAAATTTAAAAAATTTAATTTTTTGTCAAATTTTAACGATGTAATCCATTTACTTTTAAGAAAAAAAATCGAAAAAATTTAAAAAAATTAGTTCTTGACCGGAAATAGCTAGATCGATTCCCCTGGTGATTCTGATCAAGAATATATATGATTTATAGGGTCGGAAATGATTCCTTCACCCACTTCGAGACTTCTGACTAAAATGATTCACTGATAATAATATAAATAATATTTTTAAACAGCTTTGGGTGTGCAATGAAAGTTTAAACTTTAATTTGCCTAATTTAGTTCAATTTAATTTAAATATCGATCCCCTTATTGAACATATGTTTTCCACTTTCAAAGGCACTCCAAAACACTAATTAGTACAACCCTTTAAAATATATCGACATCTCGACAGAAATGAAATGAAATGGTCCATGGAAAAACCCTTACTTAAAGTGCACTTAAAGACGGTCAAACATTATTAAATGAAAGTCCAGGAAAGGGAGCTCCAGAGTTGTGGCCTTTTGTTTTGGGGCCAAATTACTCTGCAACTAATAAACTATGCCTCGCTGATTTAATTCAACTGGGGGCCGAGGGCTGGGCTTTGCTCAGTCAGCATATATACATACATATAGTGCATATATAGTACAATACATTATATCGAGACCTGGATGGATGGGGCCAAGTACACATAGTACACAAGTACTTACACAGATACTCACCCTGGCCAGACAAGGACCTCCTCCTACTCTCTGTGTGTGAGTGTGTGGAGTGTGTTTAAATGAAATTGCTTGATTCGGCATAAACATATTTACTCTGTTGAATATTTGCTCAACAATTTGATTCGCAATCCAGCGAATACGACGACTACGATGGGCTGGCATGTATGTAAAATCCAAGTCCCGAAATCAAAATGGAATTGTATCAAGGACGCGGAACAATCGAGGCGGGCAAACAAGTTCAGTTGAGGCCTCCATCCGGCGAATGAACCTCTCCTGTCAATCCACTTCGATTGCATTGAGAATGCCGTAATCGCAGGGAGATACAAGTGATGGTAATAGTGCTGCCGGGCTATCCTTTTTGAAGGAAAATTCGAGGAGTATAAGGAGCAGGAATATATATCATTATTTGGTATAAGTTAAATGCAAATGTTTACATTTTTCATATGAGTTAAGCTATACAGTTTTTAAAAAATTATAGATAATAGAAAACTACTCAAAGTACAAAGAAATCCTCCATTAAAAGTTGTCAATCGAAGGTAATATGTTGAAAAACATGTACTCAGAAATATATTTTTAAAAATAAACCTGTTATCTATGATCTATTTTCCATGCAAATGAACCCCGTCTTTTTTCATAGATATTTTCTAAAATTTCGTGACTTATTCTTATATCTTTTTCCGGAAAATCCGTCTCATTTTTAAATTAGATTGTTAGCAGCACTGGAGAGCACGAGTACACGTACGGGTTCAAGTACTTGTCTTCCCAATTCCGATTTCCGCCGGTGCAGTGCGGTAGAATTTACTCCCCCACCCTTGGCATTCATTCACAGATGTCAGCAATTTCTCGATTTGAATGCTCAACAAAAACGAAAGTGGGCAAACAATTCAGATGAGAGAGGGCCCAAAAAAATAGATACATATATTTGTATATATAAATAAATAACAGGGAGGGCGCAAAAAAAAAAAAAAAGACGAACCTCGCGCAAATGGCTTCTCTAACGACCCAATTAATTTGAAACAAGAAAAAAAAAGAACACATAGAAGAAAAGCGTTTGAATTTGAGGAGCTGCCGGAGTTTTTGGTAGAAGTGGAACGCCACAGGCCACTAAATGCTGGGTTAGAACTCGCGCCCCCGCCCCCGCCCCCGCCAAGATACATCCCCCTTCTACAACTCGAGAAACTCTGGCAATTGCCACACAGCCCCCAAAGCTTTTTATGCCACACCGCAGCTCGAAAAGTTCGCCGACAGCTTCATTACCAGCCATCATCGGAGCCATCATCATTCTGATGCACTCAAAAAAAATATGGTAGGCAAAAAGAATTAAAGGGTTGTGTGAAAAAAGAGTTGGGAATTATAGGGTAACAAAGTGAATTTTTATTGAGGTATATTGCAAGCCAGAGACATTTAATAATATGCTGACTAAGTTTTAAATCGAGAAATTAACTAATAATAAAGAAGAGGTAAGATTTTAATTAATTTAATCTTGTTTAAAAATCAGTATTTTAGTTTAAATAATTTTAAAATCTTACAGTAAATCTTTCTTTGTTTCTTCTCTTATCATAATATGAGAAATTTTTCTCCAAGTGTTTAAAAAAGTTTTGCAGCTGCTTTTAAATGAGACACTTGAAATTTAATTTAATATTTGTACTTTCGGTATGAGGCACAGTAAGCAATGTTTAAAATCTTTTCATTATTTTCAGAATTGATATACATTTAAAATAAAATTTAAATAAATTCGGAAAAGTATTTAAATCAAGATCAAAGTAGTATTATAAATTAAAATAGAAAGATACTTACAAGGCACAGAAATCTTTTCATTGCTGTTGTAACTAGCTTAATAAATTATTTAATCATAATTTCTCCCCTACAATTTAGATTATTAAACAACCTGTTGATCTCACATCTTTAACGTATAGTACTCACAATTTCTCCCTGTGTATTGATGCTGTGATGCTACCCATGAGTAATTGGCCCGGCAAAAGTTAGCCCCAAGTTGAGTCGGATTTAAGCTTGGCCGCCAACCGATCTAGCCTGAGTCTCGTGTCTGGAGTCGCGTCGATCGCAGGCAGTAAATAAATCGCAAGAAATTCACAAAAAACGTCTCAGCAAAATTCTCTAGGGAAATATAGCCATGGCCAAGACTACTAACTGCCTGGGAAATAGCATCATCCTGGTGCTCTCCGTACTAGTAATTCTATGCCTTGGCAGCCTAACCGAGGGTAAGAGTGTAAAATATGATTTATATATTTTTACGAGCTTTAAATACTTCTTATTTATGGCACATCTGCTTGAAATTATTCGCTTCTCTACTATTGTTTTTGGTATGGGAGCCGAAACAGGTTTTTTCTCGAGCGTAAGAACCGAAGTTCAGGGGCGTAGTTTGTTTTGTGCGAGTGGGGGAAGGGGGCTCGAGTCCGGTACTGAGCTCTCGCTTGCGGCTCGTTAGTCATAATTACGCTTTGCCGTGATTCAAGGCTTCCGGGTGTATGTCATAGCCAAGGCTGCAGAGAGATTAACCGGCTGATAAGCGCCAAAAGCAGCGCGACATAATTTAATGGCATGTAATTAAATTTTCCCCCCCTCCCAGCGGCTCCCTACCAGGAGCTGGAGCCCCGCAAAGGTCATGTGCCCGTCTATATTCGCCACGGAGATGAGCCCCTAAGCGAAATTCATCCAGGATTGGCCGAGGCCTTCAAGGAGGGTCACTCCAAGGACCTTGAAGGGGAGGTGAGTCAAGATTGGTCTTTAAAAAAATATATGTAAAAATACTATATAATCTATCATAGTTTGAAATAAATAAATAATAAATTTCCTTGCATTATTTGCTCCCCTTTAGAGTCTGGTCACAACTACAAGTGCACCAACCGCATCCTCAACCACAACGAATCCTTCTTCGCCTCCTGCTCCTTCAACGGAATCGGATATAGCCAGTTTTGAGGCCATCAAAGCGAAGACCGAATAACACAATTGAATAAATACAAAATTGCTACTTAAACTTCTTTCAGTTTACAAGTTAATTCTATCAAATGGAATCTCTTCTTCCCCCCTGCGTATGCAAATACAAATATATTTAAATGCAAAATAAATATAAATAAGAGAACAACAACAAAAAGCGACTTAATCTCACATTCAGTGCGTTGTGAAAGCAATTTAATTGTTTAATATTTGTCTGCAAAACATTTCAATGGAAGTGAAACTGTTGATTTAAGGTAGAGGCTGTTGCTGTCGCATTTTGTATCTTACTTCAGAAGGTTTCATTGAATAATTAATTTGCACACAAGACATGAATAAAATATATCGTAAATCGGTGTATGAGATGGGTTTGTTTAAATTATAAAAGTGGAAAATGTGTAAGATCTTGTTATGTAATGATTCATTCTTTCAAGTTCACTTTATTTTTAATTTCCAAGCTAACTCAAACTCTTCAAAAACTATTAACTTAAAGCTTCTAACGCTAACCAATTATTTTTTGGGGCTGCAAATTAAATCGTTAAAACGCTCTGCCATTTTTCCCCCTCTAGTTTCGTCACCAGCCAGGACGCGTGTCCTGTCTGGCGCGTTTAAATGAATTTCTGAAAGCCGGGGCGAGAGCTCGTTAAGAGCTGCGCAAGTTTCACACATTCAATGGAAATTATTTGGTCCTTTCGAGTTCGTCTCCTCCGATGCCGTCGCCGAAATCGCCTTAGAGCTTTGTGTGTGATTTACTTGTTGTGCCCATTAGGGAGCTGCTGCTACTGGCCCACCCAAAATAAAGCAAGGCAGACAGGACGAACAGGAGGAATGGTGATCGGGGTCCTGCGGGCAGGAAGTGGTAGCTCTGAGCTGGAAGCTGTGGCCCAAACGTTTGTAATTAATATAATGGCAACGGCTGTGCCGAGTAAAATTCCAAAATGGCCTACACACGTTGCGGTGGCCTCGAAGGATGGGGGGTTTTTTTTTTGCTGGTTCGTCGGAAAGGAGAGCGGAGCGGAGAAGGTCCTGGGTGATTGGGGGCGATCACAAATTGTTGTTTCATTGTCTCTGAGCCCCGGCTGTCTAACGAGCAATAAAACTAAATACATACACATAAAGTTAATTATAAAAGGGCAAAACGAAATTGGAAGGTCCCAGACTATTGAGCTGTAGATGCAAGTGATGGATTAACCAAGATGGAGTGTCCTGGCCAAGGAGTAGGAGCAAGGAGAGCCTTGGTTCCAGCTCTATCTTCAGACGAAATCGGTGAAAAGAGACCCCAAAGCGAAGCTGCAATCAAGAGAGCATTAAAAGAAAGCAACTGGAAAAAAATTGAAAAAGAAAATATTACCAGGGTTGAAAGAAAATCAGCATTCTCTTCTCTTCGAAGAAGATATAGTATATGGATTGTATAAAGATTCTTTTAATAATTCTTGGGAAATATTACTTCAAGTTTTTCATGCTTTTAAGCTAGTTTTAACATTTAAATAAAATCATTTTGCCAAGTATTCAAGAATCTTACAAGGCTCAAAGTACATATAAACCGAATATTTTTAGTTAGTGTTATAAAAATGATATTGAAAACTGAAAAAATCACTTAACTTCTTAGTTTTGCAGCCCTGAAAGCTAAGTGAAAAAAAGGAGCAACGCAAAACATTCAGTAAACTGAAAGAAATGCTGCAAAAAAAAGCGACGAAAACTATGCGTAGTAAAAGCGAATTTTATGGAGCATCCTCGTTTAAGAAACTGAACTGCTCCTGAATTTAAATTTCCTTGTGCAATCGTACACACACACACACACATTGGCAAAGAGACACGCACAGGATATATACAAACACACACATACGTAGAGCGGCTGCCAGGACCGTGTTCTTGTATCATTGTGTGCGTTCGAGCGCATTCAACCTCAAAATGAATAATTGCATATGCTCCAATGATTTGCGACTTTATTCGAATTCGCCAGCTCTAGCGAGGAGCTGCCAATACTTTAAAGCCCCCTTACCTTGGATCCTGGCTAGTCCTTCGATGGAAGACCCTTAAAGGGCAGGAGTTCAATTTGCGGACAGCAGGAGCAGTAGAAGCAGAAGCCATCGAGGCTAATTTGAGAATTGCTCGGCTTAATTGCCTGGCACTTAAACAATAATCAAGTTAACGGTTATGCCAGCGATTATCGCCACTTTTTACACCGATGCCAATGCTAAGGATTATTGGCTGCCCATTAACAGGAGCAGGAGCAATTCCAATCCGAATCCCAAAGTCAGGGAGAGAGAGAAGGACCCATCCTCGTATACCCCATTATGCGGAAGTCAATTCAATGTCCGTCCAATGACACTTGCTCTGCACTGTCACAAAACTTACTTAATGCATTTTTGTTTAAACAAATAAAATATTTCAAAAGATAACCTACTTATTTTAGTTATCTTTTGATTGATAAAAGTTGCATTAAATTATTTGTATATATATTATATATAGATAGACTTTGTCCCAGTGTCTGTGGGGTAGCATTTATTATTTGGTTTAATGTGCACACATTTTCGCCAACTCTGGTGGTCCTCTAACCCAGCAGATTGCCCAAGATGCCACCGCCGCCATTGCCACCAGCGCCTCCTCCTGTGATGCCGGGTAGGGAAATGAGATTGCCCAGCAATGGGTTGCCATTTAAGGTGAGCAGGCAGCTGTCAAAGCAATTGCAGAAAAGGAGCGAATATATATATATATGAGAATGAGTATATTCAGCGGTCTCAACCGGAAGCTGGCACTTACCGCAGATCCAGGCGGATGACATACTGACAGGCCCACTCCCGGAGGCACTGCAACGAAAAGGAGCGATCAGCTTTAAGCATATTTATCTTCATTCAAATGCCTTTTGATTTTGTTATTTTTACAAACCTAGAAGGGGTTTTTATTTAATGATTTAATTTTAATCAAAGACTTACCCTTAGGGCCTCAGCAGATGGTCGGGGACAAGTACCTCCTCCGCTAACTCCACCGCCTCCTCCACCACCACCTCCACTACCTCCACCACCTCCTCCTCCTCCGCCATCCTTGCCACCGCCAAGACTAGGCACGGGAACAGGAACTGGCACTGGGACAGGAACCGCCACTACCTTTTTCACTGGAGCAGTGGGCTGCTCCCAAGGTTGATTCTAATTTTGATATATTTTTTCACAGGATCAGAAAGGATACATTAAATGACAATTAAACTTACACTATGTCCCACAGCTAAGGATATAAATCCCAAAACTGTCAGAGATAAAATCAATTTCCTCATTTCAACTTTACTCAGATGAAAATCATCCACTGATATTGTCTGACTACCTTAAAACCCCTTTTATATTAAAGTAATTCCCACAGGTGTTTTAATATTCGGGTTATACAACTGTGCCGATACGATGATCCATTTTCTTTTAAACAAAAGTTGAATTTAACAATGAAAGTGATTACCAGTAAACTTAGTAGGTCAAATATATAAAAGAAAACTCTATTTATTGATTAAGGTTGCAGTAAAAAAATTAAAAGGAAGTATTTATCTTGTTTACGTACTAGTAACTTAATTTAATGGAAACAAGAAAGGAAGCTAACTTCGGCACGCCAAAGTTTATATACCCTTGCAGATAGAACTTCTATGAATAAAAAACCATACAATATAAATGATATATATTTGTGTTAAAAAACAGTGAAGTAATACCTGCTTTCATTGTATTCACCTATACATATTTGCAGTTTTACATTCAAAGATTTGCATTTTTCCTCAACATCAAACGATCGTTTGTATGGCACCTATATGATATAATAGTCCGATTTTCATGAAATTTGACACAAAATTTAAGACTAATATAAAATGCCTATACCTAAAATTTGATGAAAATCAGTTGAAAACTGAAAAGGTTATAAATTTAATTGTATTAATTTCTCGATCGTTCCTATGGGAGCTATATGATATAGTAGTCCGATTTTCATAAAATTTTATGCAAAATTGTAGAGTATAGTAAAATGGCTATATTTTAAATTTGATCCAATTCTATTGAAAACTGAAAAAGTTAAAAATTTTTTTGTAAAAATTTTCCGATCATTCCTATGGCAGCTATATGATATAGTCGTCCGATCCGGCCCGTTCCGACATATATACGAGTGAAAGTATATAGAAGGCTAACTACAAAGTTTCATTCAGATAGCTTCAAAACTGAGAGACTAGTTTGCGTAGAAACGGACAGACGGACAGACGGACAGACGGACAGACGGACAGACGGACAGACGGACATGGCTAGATCGACTCGGCTGTTGATCCTGATCAAGAATATATATACTTTATATAGTCGGAGGTGCCTCCTTCACTGCGTTGCAAACTTCTGACTGAAATTATAATACCCTGCAAGGGTATAAAAATATGTTCCTGTTTGCAATGTAAAATATAAAGTTTAATTGCTTAATCCAGATTCCTAAAAGTATGTAACATAGATTACACTTTGGTTATAATTTATATTAGTTTCGTTATTGAGTTAGGATTTACTTTATAATTTACTAGATACTAAGTTCTTTGATTTAAAAACATTATTAAATGAATAATACAATCATTTCCTGAATTTGAATTTAAGCTTAAGCCTTAAAAAAGTGGCATCTTAGAACCGGTTAAGTGAGTTGGTCTGGCAACACTGTTTAACCGTTTCCTTTGGCGCGCAAGCTTAAATTTATAAGCTTTAGCTATCAAAGTTAATTGTACTGCTAAAATCACAAACAAAAGTAAGTAAAACACATTTAATGTTCTATATATATTTCAATTAATTTGATAATCATAAATATTTTATTTATTCGCCATGCAAACCATGTACAATTACATAAATAGGTAGGTTCATTTTCAATTTCAATTTGTGGTTTTTCTTTAGTGGTTTCGTACTTTCCATTTTCCATTCTGGTTTTTGGCAACTAGTCGTATATGTATATAGTATATATATATATTTGTATATATATATTTAAATTACGAGAGCTAATTGTACAATAATTCATCTAATAATACAGCTGGTGTATAAGAGTAATATGAACGATCGCTTGCTAGTTGATTATTAATAGTATACGTTAGACAATATCATTTACCTTTAGCAATACAAATATCAATGGTGTAATTGATCTGCGGGCGAACGGCCGCGCAGCAAAAAGGAGGAGAAACGCACATCCATATAATCTTGACTCGTAATTCCTAATTCCATTGTACAGGCTGACACAGGTTTACAGGTTTACAGGTGAGAGGCTAACCATGCTAATCATGCTTGGAAACATTTCAACTGACTTAACTTGACATTTGAGCAGTGTATTTTTGAGGATATGCAGGTGGCTGAGCTGGACTCGGAGCGAAAGGTAATCTTTGGTTGATCGAGAAAGTTTAAGAACTCAACTCACTTCCGAGTTTAATAAATATTTTTGAAGGATTGGAAGGGGAAACTAGTCCTTAGTAGATCCTTGCAAAGTATTATAATTCTAGTCAGAAATGTAAAACTGAGTGAAGGAGTCATTTCCGACCCTATAAATCATATATATTCTTGATCAGCACGAACAGCTGAATCAATCTACCTATATCCGATAAAAATTTAATTTTTCCAAATTTTCAACATTTTTAAGGTGTTGAAAAAGGGTTATTAACAAAATTAAATTTAAAGTTGTATATATGTTACATTGAGTATGCAGATTTATAAACCTAATAAAAACTAACATAGAACAACTTTCCGAATAAAACTTAATTATTTTTTGACTGAGTTATGTTATTTTTAAAATTTGATTAGTAAAAAAATTTCGATAAATATCGTTGTAAAAAACTTGAATAATATTAATAATAAATATAAATTAATTGAAAACTCCAAGGGTGTATAACTTCAGCTTCCCGAACTTAGTTTCCTTTCTTGTTTTAGCTTTAAATTCACTCGATTTGATATAGAAATGAGATATGTGATCAACTATGGGTTCTATGTATGGTTTTATACCTATTTTAAATGTCCGCTTTTTATATTATTTAACTTTACATAATTAAAAGGATCCTCTTGGTAGCTGCATTAGGATATGTCAACCACCAATTAACCTTAAAAAATATGTCTTCAAGTTTTATGAATTAAGAAAAGCTCATTGGGGATATTAAATCTGTCAAGATCTGTGAAAAAAGACTTGACCAAAGATTACATTTCGTCCTTGAGGAGGATACTTCAGCCCCTGCCTTTTTGGGGTATATTTATGCTTTAAACCGCAGGGTGCTTTGCAAAGATTTGAAAGATTGATCAGTGGAGAGACAGATGGACAGCTCAGCGCCCAAAACCGCAGCTGCACTGTCCCGGTGATCCTCAGGTGCACTGCATCTTCTTGCAGTTGCACAGCCACTTGATAATCCTGGCATTCCTTTCCACTATCGATGGCGGCTCCGAGGGCCGATAGGCCTGCGTGGCCTGCGGTTGTGTCTCCGTGCTGTCCGGCAATCGCATCGAGTCCACGGTGCTCACATCCGAAAAGAACACGGTACTGGAGTCATCCGAGGCATCGTCCGTCTCCGAATGATGCCGTCTCGGCTGGCTGTATATCTCATGGAAGGCCTCATCATTGAGACCCAGCCGATCGAAGAATTTCTCCAGCTCCGAAATGCTGGCATTCAGCGCCTCTCGCTCCATATCCAGGCTGTTGTGATAACCCTCAGCGGAGAAGCCTTTCGGGAAGAACACGTTCTCGTGATCCACGCTGCCTCGATGCTGTTTGTAGGCAGCCAAAACGCTGGCTGCTCCCACTCCAACTCCAGTTACTGGAGGTACTCCCATCTCTAAAGACATATGAAGATATTAGCAAGGTAAAATGTATATAGTTTTCCTTTTACATTACCTCCTTGCACTGGCAGTCGATTCCTGTTCTTAAAGCGAATGCACCGCTGCCTCTTGAACTGTATGGGCGGCGGACTAATGTCATCCACAGATGGCGCCGAGCCAGGACTCTGGACCAGCGAGCTCTGCGAGTGATTGATGCTCGTATAACCCTGCGAACTGGTGTGCATCTGCTGGCTGGAGGAGCTCGAGTAGCGAGGCGTCTGGGTCTTGAGCCGCGGCGAAGGCGGCGTTGGTGTATAATCATCCTGAAACGCTTCCGGCACCTCCGGCGTAGGTGTAAAGTTGAGCAAATAATCCGAACCCATGCCGCCGCCCGTGTCCTGTTTGCAGCGACAATCCAGGCACTCCGTGTTCCGTCCACTCAGGCCAGAGTAATCACCAGCCGGTGTGACATAACCACAGTAAGAGTTCGCGCTGTGCTGCGTGGAGGAGCCGCTATCCCTTCGGGTGGCCGCCACCAGGGTGCAACAGTTCTTGATTGTTCCGCTCGCTGCAGCACCGCCGCTGCCAGGCACATCTCGCTGCCGCTCCCTCTTGTAGCAAGGCTCACTCCGGTGTGTGTAGTGTCCAGAGCTGCCACCGGAATCCCTGTTGATGGAGGACTCCCCCGCGGATTTGATCGATCGATTACCACGGCTGCAGCAGCTCAAGATCTCGCTGTGCGGCGAATGGCGACTAATCTGGGTGTGCAGATCCGGCAGCGATTTGTGGCTATTGATATTGAAGTCACCAGAGGGATAGGGAGCACGCTCCTCTCCAGAATTGGCCACCTCGTGCGAGTGCGAATATGAGCGTTGGTAGTTGTACCTAAAAAAATAATATTTAAAAAATAAGTATAAAAGGATATGTATTACAAACCTATAGCGATCGTTGTGCGCTTGTCCCGACTTGGCTGCATATTCCGCAGGCGGGCTAATTGGTCGATAGTTTTCGGTGAGCACCAGCGGCTCCTCTCCATCCCGTCCGAATCCATGGGCTGGTAGGTACAGCGGCGGTGGTATCCTTAGAGCACCCGCCTGACCGGAGTCCTCTTCACCGTAATCCGTGGGCAGCAGCTCGGCACTGCCATCGCTCATCTCGTGACGTCGCAAGGTGCCGCCAGGTGTCCGCTCTTTGCCCGCCTCCGAGCCGAGCAGCATGCGCAGCTTATGCTGCAGGAGATTGTTATTAACGGCTGCTCCTCCGGCAACACCCGCCGTTCGTCCTTGACCCTGGCCTTGGCCCTGACCCTGGCCATGACGATGCGCATGATGCTGATGCTGATGGGGATGGGAATGATGGTTATGCAGGTACTGCTGCTGCTGCTGCTGCTGTTGCTGATGTTGCTGCGCCTGCTGCACAGCTTGCTGCTGCTGATGCTGATGCTGCTGCTGCCGGCTGAGATTGAGGCTCATGTAGCGTCTATCCTCTAGATCGTCATATGGCTGAACGCCATAATGATGGCCATGAGGCTCCTCTGGTCGCCGGCCTCTCTTGCCGGTGGCTCCATTGTTGCCTGGGGAGGGGTTTTATGATTAATTTATAAATTTATAAAGAAACTTCATTAAAAGAAAGTAATAATATTATGACAATTTAACTTAAAAACTTCGTTATTCTGTTTGATAAAATACAATGCAAAATAGCATTATAGCATTCATAATAAAAGGTTTATAAATTATACATTTAAATATATTATTTTATTTTGTAAATTAATCATAAATAATTAATTATTAATCAATAATCAATAATTTTACAAGGATCCGGCCATTATAAAAGTCACAAAAGAGATTCAAACTTTCATCTAGAATATTACTCATACGCAGCCGCCAAAAAGTAGGCTATACTTATTGGAGCTTAATAATTAATCATTTTTAAATAGAATTTCACCATTCAATAATTTTAAATTAAGCAAAAATAAGTTCAAAATTAATTTAATAATATTTGAAAAACCTTTTAAATATCTCAAACAATTTAAACTCCACTTACCTGACCCATTCCTGTAGCTCGCCTGTTGCAGTCGCTCAAAAACCGCCTCGGATTTGATGTAAAAGGGCTTGGATTCGGCCAGTAGTTCCACAGCGGACTTGCGTTTACTATAATGCCGTCCGCCCGTGTGATAGAAGGCGTTGTGGTGACCCCAATAGTTCCTGCTCCCAGACTCGGGCAAGGCAGAGGCAGAGAGTGGCCTCTGACCCGTCGAGGACATGTAACCATAGCCAGCATCCGCCAGGCCACTGGCTCCGCCTCCAAAGATCTGCTGGCTGGTGGCATATAGCGTCTGGCTGGCGGTACGCGAATACTTGGGCATCGTGGGATAGGCGGAGGAGGGCGTGGACCCATGGTGGCCACCCGGAGAGCTGCTACCATTACAGGAGCGCTGTCGCGGACTGCTGCAGCCATGGACCACGGCCGCCATGGTCTCTCCTGCTTGTGACTTCTCCTGGAAGATGTCTTGGCTGCTGCTGCAGGTGTCACCTGCTGTTGCTGCTGCTCCTCCTTTTTTTTCTTCTTTTTACTTCTCCCTTAACCTCGATTTGGGAGGGAGGTGCGTGTGGCGGAGCGAGACTGGGCTTCTTGGGGACATGCGCAGTGGCGGGCGTGCTGCGTATACTGAAATTACAATACAATAATTTTCAGCTAGCCAAGGCTTGCACTTGCCACCTCCTACTACAGCTCCTTGAGCACCGCCTCCTGCTACGCCGTGGAGAAAACTACCAGAACTAGACCAGACCAAGGCAGGGCGAAATGAGGACCCGACATGCACTTGGAGCCAACTAACGTGACTTGGTCTAGTTACCTCTCTCAGGTGTATTTATAGATTCCAGCACACTTTTCATTCCGTCAATGGCCATGTACATATTTTAAGCATTTTCCTTTTGGGCTTTCAGTGTTCTTTAGATATATTTTCCAGACTTTTGGGAAACTCTATAGACAGTAGAGTTCTTTGAGGAGCCTGTTTTTAATCACTTGAAATTTGCTGGAGCCAGGATATGGACACACTCCACGATTGGCAACACTCACCAGGCTCTACGAAAAATTCCTTTAGTTCAGTTCAGCTTCTGTTCGGTTCGATTCCATTCCCATTCCCTGGCTGCGACGGTGGCAAGGTCTGCTACATTGTGCCTCTTTGAATAACAGATGTTGTGCCACTTCCAGAGCGTTCCCATTCGTGCCCCCAGAAAGCTTTGCACATGCGCCTAAGAGGATGTGGCCCCAGGCGAAGCTTTTGCTGATGATACAGGGATTATTCACATATAGGGAATATAGAAAAATAAAGAAAGGATCAAATTAAAACTCATTTTCTATGGAAATTATCAAAGGCGATTCTATGTCATTAAAAGATTCTATGGAGAACGATCTACCATCAAAAGGTGCCTCAAAATAAACCGAAAAATATTATAATTCAATAAAGAAATGTAGTAGAAATATACAAGATTTTATTTTACAACTTCAAAAACAGCTTGAGTTAAAGATCCACAACTGTAATTGTATATATAGGTACCATAAAAAATAGATGGAATTGAAAATATACTTATTAATTTGTATAAGCCAAAGGAAGGTAATATTATCACAGGAAAGTACTTATCTTGAAGCAATATTTCTACCATAAAACCACAGAGAAATTTATTTCACAATCCTATTCCACAATGCATTAATTAGGGTCAATCAACGATGAACACAAGCCTTATCTAAAACCTACGGAAGTTGATTACTCTTGTTTAAAGCGAATACTTATTATATTACTTATAATCAGTCATTATTTTACTTCTTTAAATACCTCTCCGGTTCTCAATAGGTTTTATTACACCTTTCCAAATCGCCAAAATTTGTATAAAAGTCGCTGGCTAACCTAGATTCCGTACAGTCTTGCTACAATGTTCACTCAGCGCCTTGGAATTTATATTTTCTTGGGATTTATTTCCCTGTCGGTGGCCTATAAAATAACACCCATTGTAACACAAGAAGGTAAGGTTCCTATTTCTTTAAAAATACAAAATATACAAGTGAATCTTCCACCTTGACAGGCATTCCCGATTTCCTGAATATAACCACTGAACCCTTTGTAAGGCTAGGCAATAACTATTACTATTTTCGAAGCAATATCATCACGAACTGGTATGATGCCTACCAATCCTGCAGGGATATGGGCGCCGGCCTTATCGATTTTGAAAGCATCGAAGAGTGGAACCTGATCAATAACTATCTTAATGACACGGGAATCTATAAGAAATATTGGACCTCGTCAAACCTCTTAGCGGATAAAAAGAATGTAACCAATCGGACTTGGTTTTCCACTGGAAAACCCATGACCCTGGATATTTGGTATCCGGGAGAACCGAACAATTTGGGAGGCAATGAGTTGTGCGATGAAATGGGCAGATATGGGACTCCTAAATTTTGGGGATTGAATGACGCGAATTGCTATGACAAGCTTTGCTTTATCTGCAAGGCCTTAAAGCCGGCAACAGCATCGTTTTTAGTTTGGTAAAAGATTTACGAATTTAGTTTCTTTAAATTATTTTACCCTTTGCAGGGTATTATAATTTTATTAAGAAGCTTGCAACGTATGTATGTATGTATGTATGTCTGATCAGTTACTAACTTTGAACACTAATAAACAATGACTTGCAAATTTTGTAACAACTCATTTCTGAGACTTGGCTGAAAGAAGTGACTTCATTCCGGAGATGTCAGAACCAGTTGGGAATCATATGGTATGGTATTTTGGTATCACTAAGTATCAATGAACATTAAATAACTATGATCAGTAAGTAACTATGATCAATAAATAACTTTGATCAATAATTAACTATGAGCAATAGGTATCTATGAGCTGTAAGTAACTCTGAACCGTAAGTATCTATGAGCAATAAGTAACTATGATCAGTAATAAACTTTGACCAGTAAGTAACTATGATCAGTAAGTATCTATGACCAGTAAGTATGTCTGATCAGTTACTAACTTTGAACACTAATAAACAATGACTTGCAAATTTTGTAACAACACATTTCTGAGACTTGGCTGAAAGCAGTGACTTCATTCCGGAGATGTTAGAACCTGTTGGGAATTATATACACAGATGTGAGACAGTTGTTTTGGAAGGAATTAAAGTATTTCAATGATACTATGGAGTTATTCTTTTATATAATTTTACTAGTATATAGGTCGGAGCACGGCGAATCGGTGGACTATATATATATATATATATATCTTCACTAGGAATGATCAGTAAATAACTATGATCAATAATTAACTATGAGCCGTAAGTAACTATGAGCAGTAAGTAACTCCGAACAGTAAGCATCTATGACCACTAAAAATGTAAAGGGGACCATGGCAATAAGCAAACTAATTGGAATATAATATTATAATATAATAATAAAATAATAATAAGCAAGTCATGGCTAAGACTTACCGCAGTAGAGGACACGTGGCTCTTTCCTCATTGCTTACTTCCTTCAGTGTAGTGACCAAGATTGGATGACTTCATCCTGGTCATCCGGATCCATTGCATTGGCCACGTCATATTTCTGGTCTCGAAGGCTGATCACTTGCACTATCACTATCGATGTTAACACTAGGTACCCCTAGGACAGACTGAGGCGCGCGCGACCTCAGCGCCTCTATTTATAGTTCCCGGGGAGAGAGTGGAGCAGAGAAAGTGAGTGTGAGTGGGAGGGAGAGTAGGAGTTGCCTCTAGAGACTAACATAGAGCGGTAGGCATAGAGAGAGAGAGGGGGAGAGTCAGAGAGAAACAGCGAGCTATTTAATTAAGTAACTATGATCCGTAAGTAACTCTGATCGGTAAGTATCTATGACCAGTAAGTATGTAAGATCTGCTACTAACTTTAAACACTAATAAACAATGACTTGCAACTTTTGTGACAACACATTTCTGAGACTTAGCCGGGAGAAGGCACTTTGTTCCGGGGATGTTAGAACCAGTTGGAAATCAAATGTACAGATGTGCAAGATTTGTCATAGGGCTATATATCATATATCGATATCAGTTGCTAAGTAAGTTTATTGTTTTTTTTTTTTTTTCATTTTATTAAATCAATATATCTAAATTTGAATACAATTATTTTTAAAAATCAAAAATCCGTTGAAAAGTTCCTATTTGCAGCTTAGTCTTATCTTCTCGCCAATTTTCTTGGGGCTTTCGCAAGTTCTGCAAGCTTTTTCCTTAACTCTGAGTGGGGAGAGCAGCTCTACGTCTCTACGGGAAATCTCTCACTCAGTCAACTGTAAACCGTCGAGCCGTGAAGATGTCCGCCAGCAAGGTTCCCTATGTGAAGCACAATAATGGCACCCAGATCCAGACCATCGGACTGGGCACCTACACGGTGAGTGGAGCAGAGATCACGTCTCTGATATCGATCGGTGCAGCAATTTGCTGTTATCAATACACTCGAAAGAATTTCCAACAATAAAGTGCCCTTTTATAGTCGCTGGGCGGAGATTGTGAACGGGCCACGCTTCATGCCATCGATGTGGGATATAGACATATAGACACCGCCTACTTCTACGAGAATGAGAACGAGGTGGGCGCGGCGGTGCAGAAGAAGATTGCCGAGGGCGTCATCAAGCGGGAGGATATCCACATCACCACCAAGGTGGGGTTTCCACAATGATTGAATAATATATCAAATGTCATTAATTGGATTATATCCTTTAGCTGTGGTGCCATTTCCATGAGCCTGAGCGAGTGGAATATGCCTGCCGCAAGACACTGGCCAACTTTGGTCTGGACTATGTGGATCTCTATCTGATGCACTGGCCCTACTCCTATGTCTATCGTGGTGACAACGAAATGATGCCCACCGATGCCAAGGGAGAGGTGGAACTCAAGTCAGTTAAAAAATATTAATTCAAATTAAATTAATTAACTTAAAAATCGTTTATTACCAGCGACATTGATTACCTGGACACCTGGCGTGCCATGGAGAAGCTGGTGGAGCTGGGCCTCACCAAAAGCATCGGCGTTTCCAATTTCAATTCGGAACAGTTGACGCGCCTGCTGGCCAACTGCAAGATCAAGCCGATCCACAATCAAGTACGTCAATTGCGGCTTTTTCTAGGGTTTCTAATTACCCATAATATTTTCTATATCCCTTAGATCGAATGTCATCCGGCTTTAAATCAGAAAAAGCTAATAGCTTTGTGCAAAAAGAATGACATTGTGGTGACCGCTTACTGTCCCCTGGGTAGACCCAATCCAGCGGAGAAGACACCCAACTATATCTACGATGCCAAGGTTCAGGCCATTGGTGACAAGTACAAGAAATCCACCGCCCAGGTGGTGCTCCGTTACCTGGTAAGGATTAGGATTTGTCTTCAGGGGAATCCTTGATCTTTATGTTACTTTGTTTACAGATTGAGATTGGAACTATTCCACTGCCGAAGTCTTCCAACCCGAAAAGAATCGAGGAGAACTTCAAGATCTTTGATTTTAAATTGGATGCTGAAGATCATGCTGTTTTGGATACGTACAACACCGGCGAGCGTTTGATTCCCATGACACATGCCATCAAGAGCAAGAACTATCCCTTCAGCATCGAGTATTGATCTGGAAAAGGGGATAACTAATGTTATTTTTTGATATTTCAGTGCCTTTAAATGATATTTTGAAACAATGGATATTTTTTAAAAATACATAAAATGTATTTCCAAATTAAAAGTGTTTTTATGTAATCAAAAATATCTCATTAACTGTTGGTTTCATACGTATAATCTTGAATGACCTTTAACTTACCTCCGCATATTGTTTATATGTACATAAAGACGTCTATTTTAGTCTTATCAAATAAAGTAGTGCTATTAATCTAAGGAGAGAGCATCGATAATAATAAGGCTTAAGCCTTACAAATTATAATTGTATTTTAATTATTCAAATTTGATTCAAATCAAAAGCATAAAACCTTTCTTTAACTAAATGTAGCATTACAAATGCTGATCATTTTAGTCGTTTGGTGAGAGATAAAGACAAGAGAGAGCTTTTTCCTCAACTAGTTTTGTTAGAACCAAAATATGCATGGAAAATTCCATTTAATCAAAGCCACCCATACATATGCAAGACCGCCCAGCTGTTTAAGTTCAATTACTAAAATAGGAAAGCCGGCAAACATGCAATGCACAATAATAAATGCAAATTACTAGGCCCACACACATGCTAAAAAATATAATATAAATAATAGAAAACTATAAACAAGCTTATGTGCCTATCGATAAATACCATTTGAATAAAGTTTGGAACAGAGCTGCCACATGGTTTGAATTTAACGGTCACTGTGAAAACTTGAAAACTTGTAGATTTCAGTATATTATATTGAGCTTAAATGGTATTTTCTGTCGCCCCCTTAGCGGTCTCACTAATTATGTTACAAACTTTACACTAATTATTCTCGCCGGGATTTCACAACAATTTTCCGGTGGAGTAAACAAGATGCAAACAGAACGTGGCCACTGCAGTGAAGATTACGTGGAGCAGGAACAGCAGAAAGTAAAGTAAGAAATATCCCCAAACCCCTCCCAAGGCCCCAACAGGAAGTCCGTCCAAGAAGTCGTGGAAGAAGTCGGCCGTGAAAGTAGAGCAACCTACCAGAAATCGATGTACCACTGTCATATAATGGTCTATATGCGAATTGTGCTCACGACTCTGGTGACGATTACGTGTCTCCTGGGCGACAACTTTGTGGAGCTCACCCAGCACCCGCTGCTGAAGGCACTGGCGGACAATGCGACACATGCGGCAATTGGTGCCCTCACCGGCATCGCATTTGCCATGCAATTTTACGAGCGCACCTCGCAGTTATTCGGTTGGATATTGATTTTCACCTGCTTCGTTGTGTCATCGTTCATTGACTTGGACCACTTTGTGGAGGCACGTTCCTTGTACTTGGAGGTAAGTAGATAAGATTTCAACTACGAAACCCATAATTAAATAAGTAAGTTCAAGGTAAAAGTATTTTAAAAAGGGTTTAATTACCTGATAAACCTTGAAACTAAACTAATGCTACTTTCCTTCTCCCTCCTAGGATGCCACCAATTTGTCGAAGCGACCCTTCCTCCACTGCTCCAGCATCATTGTGATAATGCTGCTCTTCTACGTGTGCACTGCCTGTTTGAACTACTTCCGCACCAGCCTGATGCTGGGAGCTCTACTTTGTGCCTTCATCACACACCACACTCGCGATGCCGTTCGCAGAGGCTTCTGGATCTGCCCCCTGGGACACACAGATCGTGTGCCCCAACTGGGCTACATCCTCACCACGATACTCACACCATACGTATTGGGTTACCTGCACAACCTATGTCGAAGTGCCATAGTTTTAAACTTCTTGGGGCAATATATTAAGCTAAGCGAAGGCAACTACCGTAGTGGCTCCAGTTCAATTGCCAATTATCGCTATATGCAGGTCTAGAGAGTAGAACATTTTGTGATAAAGCTGTGCAAGACATCATCAAATGGTAACGATACAAAACAATGCTTTTCAAGCTTCAAGCGCTTTAATATTAGATCAGCTAGAAACCAAAAGTACTTCCACACCACATACAGGACACAAGTTTATACGGATCTACTAGTAATCGCAAGTACCTTCGTTTTATGGGGAACTAAGCTTCCCCCGTCCAACTCTATTTATTTTTTCTGTTAATTAGTAGCGTAGGTTTTAACTAGCATCTAAAAATACAGATAATATCCAAATTTGTGATATGTAGTCGATAGTGAAACTAGAAGTAACGAGCATAGCGCACAACGATTCTAATAATCGATCTTTAACTTCCAAACTTTGACTCTCTATCTAATGTAATTTTGTAGGCGAAACGAATTTTAAGCTAATCGAACAATAAAACTCAATGTAATTGCCTTAAAACCCAGAAAATGCTGCATCATCGGCACCTTGTAATCACGGCCTCTGTGTTAATCCAATTGTTATTGGGCGTTGTGGCGTGGCCCACCTTAAAATGTTTTCCCGTTTATTTGTGGGCCAAATTAGTTGCCATTTACAAATTGGCCCTAATGGATAGCATCGTCGTCGTCGCTCCCAAGGAATCCCGTCATAAATTGACTCTGGCAAGTACATATTTCCATCGAAGCGCGAACGTGTTTTTGCTATTTTTAACCAAATTTAATTTTAAATCTACGCCATTATAAATAAATCACAATTCGATTGAACAAGTTCGTGGGGTAAATATATATTAAGAGAAAAACATACATTTTTCCTACGCTTTTCATGTGAAAATCGCTGTGTTTTTGCGGGTCAATCATTGGGTAATTAAACTTCCACGTGCGATTTAACAAAAAGAAAATACTTTTTATAGGGTATTGTCGGTCCCAGAATTTCCCACGCATGCCCATTAACCGAGCCACTAACAACAATAACAACGCTTGGCTGGGATCTGTTTTGGCGAGAACATATCCACCCACAACACGAATTCAGTTGACATACACTGGAAAATATTCTAGGAACTTGGTTTTTATTAAATATAAGTTTTTCAATTTTTAGAATTATTAAACTAAACTATTTACTTTTGCTACCTATTCTATGATAACCGAAATTGATTGATGCTCTAAGGTTATAAATTTAATTTTAAACAGTAAATAGTTAATACAAACATTTTTGCTATATATTTAAGCCTTTATGGGTTTATTTTTTATTTTCATATAACTTAAAACTAATTCTTTTATATTTTATGGACATAGGAAACTATTCCATATCGGTTTCATTTATAAAACGGCTTCAATTGGTTTAATAGCATATTATTTTACATGCACAGAGAATTAATCCTCTAAAAAAAATTGTCTTAATTGTTCTTTATTTTTGTTTAATAATATATATATATTCCTAAAAAAATATCCTTAAATTTATTATAATAATTCTTTAAAATCAAACAAAGACACTTCTCCTTTAATACTTTTCATGCGAACTATGTTTGTTTCTTAAAAGCTTGCCCAGTCTTATTTTTTTCTCTATAAATATTCCAAAAATATATATAAATTTCTCGCTGTGTATATGTACAAATGATGATCGTTTTGGGGCTGGGTCGCCGCGTCTTGTTAGTGGACATATTTATTTATGAGTGATCACAGCCACAGAGGCGCAGTACAAAAAGTGTCGGCGGCCAAGAGAGACTACAGTATCGCGTGTCCTGTGTCCTTTTTTCGGTTGTTAGTGTGTGTCTGTGTGTGTTCGTTGGGTGTATTTGTGCGTGTTGGCCAAGATTGCGAACCAAGAGGAAATCAGTGACAATCCGCTCGCTGTAAGTGACATATTCCCCATCTGGAATGGATTAGTGATTTTTCTGGCTTCCGTAGTGCCTGCATTTGCATAGTTTAGTGTTCAGTTTTTGCGATTGGCTTTCGACCTTGATGCCTTTCACGCTTCGTTTGGCAGCCGCTGTGTATTTACTTATCGATGATATCACAGCACTGTGTCATTAAGCCCAAAGCTCTCCCCCAAAGTGCGACATTTCTGTTTACCAAAGACGATAACTAACTAAAGTCGCTAAATGCCGTTCCCAGAGTCATTAACACCCAGTTAAAGATCCAGCTAAAATCACGGGTACGGGTTCCGTTCTGGCGCAGTTTCATAATATTTATCTAGCACGATCATAACAGGCATACAGACATTCATATTATATGTATATGGTTTATAAATAAACATTGTAAATATTTACATTGGAAATCTATAAAAGAGCAAGGCGCCGGGATCTCTTTTTCATAATTCTCTCGCTCAGCGTTCAGTCTTTTTGTTTCTTTGGCACACATTTATTATTTTTTATTATTATTATATATTATATTTATTATTTTTGCTGTAGAGCAATATTTAATAAATAAATAAGTCATAAAAGTCGAGCTACCGCTTCATTTATGAGCTGATAATGAGCTCGTAAATAATCCAATTCCGGTTTCCACTGCCTAAAAGCCGTCTAAACTGATCTATGGTTTATTATGGAAATGATCTTGCAGCATAGAAAGTTTCTTTTCATTTTTCTTTAGCGGAAAAGTCATTATACGTTCACTGATAATGCCAATGATCGATAACGAGTTCAGAGACGGCTCTCAGACAGTTGTGCAATTAATAAAAAATATACATCAAGCTGGGGGGAAATGTAAAATACAGTACAGTAAAGTTAAAATGTTGAAAGATTAATGAGTATATTTGTATACTTTTTATTTTGTTAAATTATATACACAAAGGTTTCCTAAGCTTGTTAAAGTCAAAGTTTAATTAGGGATACGTTTATTGTATACAATTATATACAAGTTAAAACAAGCTAGACTATTATTTAACTTAATGATTAATGTTTATTCGAGCACAACTCTGAAAAGAGAGCAACAGTAGACTTTCTTAAATAACTTCCCGTAAGTGAATCTTTTACTTCCAATGACCCCATGGCGTATGAGCAATGTGAAGTGTCGTTTTTTGGTCGCCTTACCTGAAACAACGACTGAATGGATCACGACAGCTGCCTAATTAAAATTACCAAAGATTCCAATGCTCTGTCGCCGCCTGCCAACTTTTGGTGTTTAATTTTTTCCTTTCCCCCCTCTTCTTTTCGTTATAAATCTTTAAAAATAGCTCATACGCAGTGTTGGCACACGAACGCACTTGCAATTGCAGAAGGCACTTCGGTGCT